TCACTCTCTTTATAGTGGTCTTTTGTTTTAATTGTGGAGGAACATGGATTTGGGGGTATTTTACAGAGTGACTTTGGGGTTTTTTTATCGGGGTTTTTCAGTTTTCCAATAGGGAACACCAGATTTCCTGCTAGGGAGGCCAGTGATAGGACCCTGCCTGCTCAGAGCTGGCACCTTGGACCCAGCTGGCTGTGGCTGACCTCCTGGCCCCAGTTGACAGTTCAAAGCAGGCCACCACACCCAGGACATCCTCTGGCCGATAGTTGCCCAGATAGTTGGGCAGGGGGCACACATAGTAGTGCCGCATGAAGGCCAACTCTGCAGCCATAGCCCAATGGCAGCTAGCACAGAGGGGCAGATGTCTCATCCAGGTCTGGCAGGTATGCAGCAGATCACAGCCAGGCAGCAGCCCCCACTGCCAGACTGCTGCAGTGGGTAGAGGGTGCAGGAAACTCTCAGGGCTGCGTCAGCAGTCCAGCTGGCACAAGGGGTAGTGTCCCCAGGTACCAACTGGCTGGGCCCCAGAAGCTCCTGAGAGCGAGTAGCCCTGAAGCTACTTGCCAGTGCAGCTTTTTGTACTGATGGTGCCAGGACAGGGCAGCTTTCTATACTGCTGGGGACAGCACAGGTGCTGGCCCCAGGCTCTAGCTCCCTGTGGCTGCAGATCCGGGAGGAGCCAGGCAGGGTTATTTTGCCCCAAGTGGCACAATTTGCTTCACAACAAAGTGCATGTCTGAGCATGTGCGCTGAGGCACAAAGCCCCGGCTCAAATATGCACCACTTCTATTTGAGCTGCTGCAAATGCACATGCCTGCATGTGTGGACATGCCCAGTGAGGCCACAGCTAGAGTACTGTGTCCAGTTCTGGGCGTCACACTTCAAGAAGTATGTGGACAAGCTAGAAAGGGTGCAGAGAGGGGCCACCCACATGATCAAGGACCTGGGGGATAGGTCATATGAGGAAAGACTTTGGGACCTGGGTTTGTTCAGTTTAAGTAAAAGAAGGCTGATGGGTGACTTGATAACCACCTACAAATATGTCAAGGTCGAACAACAGGATCTGGGAGAGCAACTTTTCAGAAAAGCACCCCTTGGAAAGACGAGGGCCAATGGGCAGAAGCTAGTCAACAAAAAGTTTAGTCTAGATATACAAAACTTCTTTTCTGTATGGGTAATCAAAATCTGGAACACACTTCCAGCAGAGGTGATGTAGTCACCGTCCCTGGAGGCATTCAGGATGAGGCTGGACAAGCACCTTGTTGAGCTCGTTTGAGCCCATTACCTCCTGCCCATGGCAGGGGACTGGACTTGATGATCTTACAGGTCACTTCTGGTCTTTCTTTCTATGATAAAAAGTCCAACTCATTAAGATTAATTCAGTCTTAACAAACTTTTTAAAAATTCAGAGATAAACATGTACTTCTACATACTTACCGCAGCAGCTGCATCACTGTAGGTTCATGGCATATCATGCATAGCCCTGTTTAAACCCAAGGGAATGTCCCACATTGAGGTAGACTTGTTGGGACATAATTTCAACAAGGTGTGCAAGCTCTGCTGTCTGACACTGATGGTGTTCTGTTTGTGGTGAACTGCAGCTTCTTTATTCTATGCCTGTTTCAGAGTGATTGCTAGGTTCCAGAGAGATAACTTTAAGCCAGTGAGACTGTGATATATAATAGACCAAGGCTCTCTGTTTCTACTCTGCTAATACTTCCACTTGTGGCTTTTTTTTACTCTAGTACTGGATAAATGAGTACACATCCACCTTGGGGATTGGAGTCTTTCACTCTGGGATCGAGATCTACGGCAGAGGTATGACCTTTTCCTTTTGATTACATCTGAAACTGGGAGTTTGTGCCATGCATCTTGTGATCATCCCTATGATGAAAAGGCATCCAGATTTATAGCTTTTAGGTTAAGAGCGCTTTGAATAAAAATTTAGCCAATTCTTTTTAGAGCTGGAAGAGCTAAAGAATGGCCTAGAACTTCTACTTACAAAGTTTTATTATGCACCCTGATTCCAGTACAGGAGCACAGTCTGCAGACTGTAAAGATACCCATACTTTTTGCAAAAGTATCATAGGACATCAGGCAAGAGAGGACTGGGAATGATATGGGCTGGAGTTCTCCAGAAGCTGATAGGTGGACAGAGTTACTTTAAGAATAATACTGCTTTCCTTATCTTAATATAACTCCTAGCCCATTTTTAGAAGAAAGTCATTTCTTTGTCCTATTCTAAAACTTCTGTAGTTTCAGAAACTGTCATTTTGAACCTGCAAACATTTGAGGAAAAGGGAATGTCAAAGTTTAAGCCTCTGTGAGACTTTCAGTTTGATAAACCTCTGGAATGGCTTGAGTGGAAGGAGTGCTTTCCTAAGACTTGAACTATAGTAACCCTTACTATGCATATTAGCATAAAGAAGTCCCCCATTAATACTTGCAATGGTGAGTGAAGCTAAAATATTTATAAATCACTTACTTCAATGAAGAAGGCTCTATGAATAACTATTACAAAGCGTTTTAAGTCTGATGAGTGCAATTCCTTAAAGGAATACATGAGTATGACTGATGTGTTTCCACCAATGTAATTTACATCTGTTTTGTAATGGATGTTAATTTTGACAGAGTTAAGGAAGACAGACTTGCAGGTATCTTAGGATAGCTGCAAAGCATCTAGCTAATGCGAATAGTTGAGCAAATGATACCTTAGACCAATGCAGCTTTAGCCCTGTTTTTTCTAAGGATAACTCTAGCTTCAAACAACCAGCTAACCAGCTTCAAATAAGTTACATTGCTGAAGGGCTGTATGTCATGAGTTTACTCCACTATTTGCTGATGTATCCACCCCATATGAATGGGCATGCTATTGTGATGGAAGCATGGGAGCATTTATGATTCAACAGCATTGTGACTTTGGGTTCTCCCTGACAGACACCAATAAAAGATCTTTCAGAAGTTAGGCCTTCTTTAAGTAAGGAGCTTTCAGAATAATTACATTTCTCAGCTGCTTTGGGAACAAAGTAGTGTACAGTTAAAGAAGTCTGAACTAGTAAAAATGTAAATCACTAGGCAAGATAACAATGGAAATAACAGGCAAGAAATAGCAAAGGAAAATTTCAGAGGCAAAACCACTCTGAATTTTCTGGTTAGGATAGAATATAAATAATAATATAATAATAGCAGAAACGTCCATGTAAGGTTGCTGAATTCATGGATAGGATTACAAGAGGGATGGAAGGGATTGCCAGAATGTAGGAGGCTGAGAGTTGTCCAACACATGGTCATGAATGCCTATAATATAAGAAAAAATTATATTAGGAATTTAAGAGGAATCAAGGAGATGCATACATCTTTGGGCCACATAAATTGCTTCAGACAGTTCAAAGCCACTACAAAATAAGGCTATATGTTAATGAGCCTTCTGTAAATAATTTAACTCAGACCACAGTCATTCAGATGGCTTCTATGAAAACTAGATGTTGGGATGGTGTGCAACAAAAATGACCAGTTTAAAGGTGGAGAGGGAAGGGAGGCTGTATTCTATATGCTGGATACAGCTAGGAGGAAGCCAAATGCACTGCTTTTGAAAGTGAAAGAAGACCTGGATAGGATGGAGAGGAATGCTACAGTAAAAAGTGAAAAGGGTCAGTACTGAACACAACAGTGACGTTTCCCTGTGGTGGCAAAGGGTTGGGGGGTAAGTAGAACTATTTGCCTAAAGATGTTGATTGAAAAGGATCTTCTTTTCACCATCTCCAAGAAAATGAGTGCAACAGTTTCTTCTGAGAAATTTTGTTTTGTATTGCTAGTAGCAAGCTGAAAAATCTGCTGTGAAGCCAGTCAGACAATATTACTCTCTGCTTCCTCCTATTTAGGATCACAAAGCCCTCAGAAATCTTACCCAGGAGAAGGAATGGGAGTCTCAAAGTGCTAGAGGGGTGGGTGGGGGGAAGTAAGGATACTGCTGCTAGGAAATAAGGCAAATGTAACTTCCAAGTGAGACAAGGTCTAAAGTCAATTGAGGCTGCTGGGTTAAAATTAAAAAGAGAAGTGTCTACTACAACAAACCCATCTATGGTTCTCTGTTATCAATAAACAGGATTGAAGATGGATCCAGAAAATGCCAAAATTATAACCGAAATGCTACCACCTAAAAATGTACCAGAACTTAGAAGGATTCTTGGCATCTTGTTTCTGAAACAAATCCCTACCCTTTAGGTACTTAAAACAGGGTAGGTCTGGGCAAACCTCAAGAACAAGTTTTTGAGGATCTAAAGAATCTGTCCACCACATCCCAGGTTCTGGGATTTTTAAGATGTATGCAAGTCTGCACCTGGTTCCACAGATGGCAGCAGCTACTGATCGGGCACTAATTTAGTTACTTTTAGAGATGACTGGAAGATTGTAGCTTCTCGTTCCAGATGGCTTTCAGACCCTGAAACCAAAACTGAAACAGAATTTTTGCCAAACATATGGGTCTGTGAGAAGATCCAGTGATATTTGCCAGATCTAGGCAATTTCATGCTCAAGACAGATCACAAACCACTCAGTTGTTTTAAAATAGAAGACAACCTAGAAAAGGTGTCCCTTTACGTGGCAGTGATTCCTCATGTGGTATATAACAACTACATTTATAGTCAAGTATGCACCAGGGAAACCCTTAGGGGTAGCCGAGAGATGCTCAAACTAAGTTTTCAGCCTTTCTTAATGGAGCTAAATGTTTATCCAACCCTGATTAAACCACATGAGAGAAGGTATTGGGCACACCAGGTGTTGTCACCAGACAAGAACCCACTACAAAAGAAAAAGATGGCTTCTTCAGCTGGCTGGATGAACGATTCAGTCAAGCCAGAGAATAGATTAGCTTAATGGAAGACACATTTCCTTGTTCAATTAAGGGGAAGGTAGCTTTCTGCATGTTATTTTTTTTACCAGTGTCATGTGACAAAGAAGTCTTAGAGGGCAGCAGTCCATCTTGAACTAAGTAGCTTTTACAGTTTACTTGAGGTAGAGCATAGCATGTTGGGCTTCTCCATAGGCCTGACCTGCTTATTAAAGATGAGTTGAGCGACAGTTAGTTTGGCTTTCAGCAGATTAGTGGAGAACTCTCTTACTTCTGATAAGCAGTCTATATGTTGGCAAAAGTTAGTTACTCCTGGCTCTATTAAAGAATTTTTAGGAGCTTTCTTTTCTGTTTATCAGCTCCAGTATCTATTCATATTGCTTGAAGAATCCTTTATCTTTACATAAGCAGTTACTATTACTTGAGCTCACTGTTTTTATTTGGACAGGCACAGAGATGCCCACGAATGGTAAACTAATGTGGATAGAGTCAGCTCTAGAAGAGAGCTTGTGAGGGTATCCAAAGGCTGATAAGTACCAGTAACTGGACTAGGAAGATCAATTTTAGAGCCTGACTGAAACTGGCTTGGACCTAGATTCTAGTGCTGATGCAGAACTATACAGATTTTTCTTTGATATAGCCTTCACGTACTTGCTCACGGTCTCTTTCTTTCCTTGTCAGAGTTTGCCTATGGAGGGCACCCTTACCCTTTCAGTGGGATTTTCGAGATCACACCTGGCAGTGCGGTAGAGCTTGGCGAGACCTTTAAGTTCAAGTAAGGGCTATTTTCTGCACACCCTTTCTTGTAGTCATCAGTGAGCCTACTTAAGGCCAGCCAGTCAATACCATTTGCCATTCTCATTCTCATCATCCCATTTCATGCTTCCATCCTCATGTGTTCCCATCTGGTCCTGATCCAAAGGCAGTTCAGTGGGGCTCCTTGAAAGGAAAGAGGTGTGTATGCTTGTGTGTATTGGGATGGAGGAGTGTGTGAGAGAGAACAAGTTGGGAACGTTTTTTTTCTCCTGTGTTTTAAAGTAACATCTGAAATGCACCCAGCTGATTTTATTTGACAGTTTTGGTTTTTTTGTGCTCCAGTTTTGCCACTCAGCAAAATTCTAAGAATAGTGCATTACTAGCTGCTGCAGAGCCAGTAGAAGGAGCACAAGAACCTCATGTGTTGCTTATGGATTCCACAAAAACAGGAGCTCTTGCAAGTTTTCTCCTGTGTTTTTCTCCTCTGTCTATTGGCAGAACAGGGCAGATTACTTTTTAGAGTACTTCTGGGAGGATTTCAGTTGCCACATTGTAAAGTAATCAAGCTGATCATGTTTTAGAACAGAAGTTAATGGACTCTTAATGGAAAATGGACCCTTACGTGTGTAGATAACTGATTCAGATTTGGCCAGGAAGAAATTGGATGAAGATCTTTGCTCTCTGAGAACTATGGCCTGTTATGCCACATGAATTTTTCAGGGAGGCTTCTCAATCCAGTACTGACCATCAGGTATCTGCATCACCACTATAACTGGCCCATTTCAGGGCCAAAGGCTGAATGGATAGCAAACTACTCCCTGAGGCTCAAAGTTCAGTCAGTTTTTTCAGGTTCGTTTGTGGAGCAGCTCTCCGTGTTGTTGCTTGGGCTTCTTGGTAGAGAAATAGAAGACATTATTGGACAGTGCTAGCCATCAGGACCTCTTCACTACTTCTAAATAGACTTAAACTGATTTTTCCAAATTTTAAGTCTAACCTGCTTTCCAGTGCCTCCTTTTCTCTCACTTTTTGCCTGTCTCTGTCTCAGTCCTCTTCACTGTGTCTTCCCATATGTTTCCTGTTGCGTGTTTTTGTTTTTGTTTTTTTAACTAGAGAATCCATTGCCTTGGGCACCACAGACTTCACGGAAGAGGATGTGGATAAAATTATGGAGGAGCTGGGCAAGGAATACAAGGGCAATGCGTACCATCTCATGCACAAGAATTGCAATCACTTCTCCGCTGCCCTGGCAGAGGTTGGCACAGCTCTCTTTTTTATTGTGACTTCAGAATCCATAGCACAACTCATGGGGAAACTGAGCCCAACAAAACCAATGCACTGGAGCAACTGACAAATCTATGATCCTTGCCCTTTTACCCTCCTTACAATGCTGTGACAGTCCTTTTTTGTACTTGAAGCTTTTAAAAGCACTGAGCCAGGATGGTAGTCAAATCCAACAGGCTTATTGCTGGTAGGTATTGCTTTTATCACTATCTCATAATGCAAAAAAGAGATGAAGGTTAAAAAAATGTAGTAGGGCAGGGGTATCTGCACTTTGGCACACTGCTCTGGTCAGTCAGCTGGACCTGGAAAGCTAGCTTAATCAAGTGCCCATAATTATTAAAGACAGAATATGAACAACGCCAAGATTTGTGTACGTGTATGTCTTCTGTGATAAAGGAATAAAAATTGCTTATTGAACTTTAGCTGACAAACTTATAGCATGCAGGGGAAGGGTGGTGTTGGGGATGTTCTAAAATTACATTTAAAAGGAGATGCCTGTCACAGAGTCTGGCACTCAAAAGTCAGGAGCTGCTAGCACTGTGATTACGTATGCAACTATTAAAGTTTAAACTATCAGAGTTAAGAATGAATCAGTCCCCATAAGTATGTTCCTCATGATGCAGTCTTTAATAACATGATCACATGCTACCTTTTTCACAGTACCCTTACCTCAATCAGTAATGGGTTTTTGGTTATTAAGTATTTCTTTTTATCTTCCATTTGAAGTATGCAGCCCCCAAGCCTCATTTAAAGCATAGCCAGGCTTCACAATGAAAAAATGGTTAATTTCCTCAAGGGTGTTTCCATGGTGTTCTTACAAATGTTAATTAATTTATCTTTACAGCATCCCTCTGAGAATCAGTGGCAGAATTATCCCTATTCTATAGATGAGGCAATTGATGCACAGAGATTAAGGCCAAAATGCTCAGAGACAGATGTTTGAGATACCCAATTTCAGCTGTATAAAACCAGATTATTTTAAGAGCACTTAATGAGAGCCGGGTTTGGAGCAAATAGACTTCCCTTATACTCAGTTCCTGAGTGCTCAGATCCTGGGGCCTCAAGTCAAGACCTCTGAAACCGAGGAGAACACAATTAGTAGCCATTCAAGGAAGTTTGGTTTTCAATGCATTGTCCAGCTCTGTCTAGCAGTAGCATAATGTGGGCTGGGCAAGTGAGGTGCCAGCCCTGGGTGCCAACTTAGTGGCACCCCCAGAATGGAACCCCCCACAGGGAGTCTGTGCCAGCAACAGTAGTTCCAGCTAGCTGCAGAGGTGCTGTGCTTCTGCTGCAACAGTGGAGAGGTAGTGAGAAGGGAGGGGTAGGGGGTTGAGGCCCTGGAGCAGCTAGCACTTCTGCTTCTGCCTTCCATCCCTCAACTCTTGGCAACCCTCTCCTACTCAGCAGTACCTCTTTCCACATCACTCTCCAGAGGAGTTCGCCCAGGGTGCAAACTCTGTTTAGTTACACCTCTGCTTCTTAACCATTCTGTGGTAGAGACAGAGATAAAATCATTCTACATTTTCTAATTTCTGCAGCAGCTGAGGCCAGGGACCTGCAGTCTCCCATCACTATATGCAGTCCTGATTTCATCCATGGAGAAGAACAGGTCCTTTCTGTGCATTGGTTGGAGAAGGAGTGCTGTGGGAAAAAAAATCTGTATAATTCTATATATGCAATAAATGTTAGCACCTATGGCAGGTGTGGGCAAAATGCGGCCTGCGGGCTGGATGCAGCCCACCAGGCCACTCTATCCAGCATGCAGGGCCCCTAAAAAATTTAGAAAATTAATATTTAACTACCCCTGGCTGCCTGTCATGCGGCCCTCGATGGCTTGTCAAAACTCAGTAAGTGGCCCTCTGCCCAACATAATTGCCCGCCTCTGACTATTGTTAATTTGGAAAGGAACTGGGCAGGCTAGTAAGTAGGTGCGTTGACATCCCCAGACACGCAACGACTGTGGTCCAGCTTGTCTATTGAAGAAGAGGTTATTCAGTATTCTTCCTTGTATACATTTGATTTAAAATTTAAAAAAAGAAATGTAACATTAGAGCTCAACTGAACTAAGTATTAAGCAGTTCAATTACCAAAGCAACAAGTTAACAGCAATATTGAACTAAGTCATATCATCAGATTAATGCAACAGAATATCTGTAGTTTAATCCATGAAAAGGAATCTAGGGAGATGTCTGTCTGATTATAGACGTGAGAAAACTTTATCCACAGCAGTGCAATCAGAACTTGGTTGACTAAATATTTCTATATTGAAAACAAATTCTCATCTGCAAGCCAGAACCTCAAGGTTAATGGAAGTGTCCTTAATTTTTGCTGTTGTGTAGCAGTTCCTTCTCATTCTCCTCCTGCCATACCCAGCACAGATAACAAAGGCCTTAAAAGAAGTAGAAGTTGGGTAAGTAGAAGTTTGACAACACTTATTAAATAATTTTCAAACTGACAGCTGAAAGTAGTTTTAGCACTCTATATAGAACCTGGGAGATGCATTCATAAATATCTTTTCAGTGAATTTCAGGCTGTTTAAACTTTCTTTCAGGTGTCTTCCTTGCAGGGACTTTACAACTACTTGCAATTGGGTGCATGAGGGTCATACATTTTTCCACCCTAAAATAATCAAAAGGTGGGGGAGGCATTGAGGAGGGGGCATCTCTAGTTAATTAAAAAAGAAAAGTAAAAAATGAAAAAAGAAAAATAAGATCTTTAAGATAACAGGCTTCATACTCTTCAGATTACATGGAACTTGGGCCTGCGCTGTTCAATTTCTTCATCAGCGATTTGGACGACAGGGTGAAAAGCAACCTGTTTAAATTTGCTGATGATACCAAAATTTGGGGTGAGGTGAGCACACTAGTAGGGAGGGAAAGATTGCAGCAAGATCTGGATAGGTTACAGGAGTGGGCTAACATAAACAGGATGCGTTTCAATACTGACAAGTGCAGGGTGCTGCACTTAGGCAGTAGAAACCAGCAGCACACTTATAGAATGGGAAACTCCCTTCTTGAGAGCACGGAGGCAGAAAGGGATCTTGGAGTCATTATTGACTCCAAGATGAACATGGGCTGCCAATGCGAGGTCACGGTTGGCAGGGCTAACCAGACCTTGTCGTGCATCCACAGGTGCATCTCAAGTAGAGCCAGGGAGGTGATCCTCCCCTTCTGTGCGACGCTGGTCAGGCCACAGCTGGAGTACTGTGTCCAGTTCTGTGCACCCCACTTCAAGAGGGATGTGGACAACATTGAAAGGGTCCAGAGGAGGGCCACCCGCATGATCCAGGGACAACAGGGCAGACCCTACAATGAAAGACTGCGGGACCTAAACCTGTTCAGCCTTCACAAGAGAAGGCTGAGGGGGGGACCTGGTGACTGTCTATAAACTCACTAGGGGGGACCAGAAGGGTTTGGGAGAGACCTTGTTTCCCCTAGCACCCCCTGGCATAACCAGGAATAATGGACACAAATTATTGGAGAGGTTTAGATTAGACATCTGCAAGAACTACTTCACAGTTAGGGCGGCTAGGAGCTGGAACCAACTTCCAAGGGAAGTGGTGCTGGC